TAGTTCGCAGGAAGGCAGGCATATCCATTTTGGTGAATCTTTGATCGTCCTTATTGTCCTTTCATAGTCATGGCGGAAAAATGATCCGATTGAGGGAAAAGACAAATCTGAGCTACCAAAATTAAGTGAGTTTCGACGAATCTGACGAGATAACCTTGTTGGCCAGATGTTCACTTCACGTGGAAGGTGCTTGAAGAAGACATTCGACGGTTGATCTCACCTGAAGACGACGACCGATTCGCGTTTTATTGCAGCCGTTCAGCTTCAGGTGGACGCAATCAAAGAGACATTCTCGCTCGTTTCGCGTCAAAGCCAGCTGACCTTTCGTCCATCCTTCAACGGACCTCATCAGAGCTGAAACTCATTATTGTCAAGGTCCTACGTCAACAAACGCATAGTGATCATGCCACTTTTGCTCGAGTGTCTGTATGTGTGTGTGTGTGTGAGTGTGTTAATGTCTATATGCAATATTAGCTGCAAATAAGAGTGAGCAGATGCGAATGTCCGTAAGCATATATTGTATGCGTGTAGGTCAGACTAGGAAACCACTTTTCCCAACCTCTCAGTTTAGAGTAATTGAAGTTAAACGACGCAACGAAGTGCATGACTGAGAGTCGGTAATCTCGTACGTCTGGTTTGGTTGATGAAATGAAGCCCACATGTTGGACTTAAAATACGAAATGAAATTCTTTCGAAAATTGGAAATCACACAACCGTCCTGACCTATTCTGATCCTGTTTCACAGGATACTGCTTACCACAAGTCGCCTCGCCGGTAGATAGTCCGGATGCTGACGGACGACGCATGGGACCTTTGACGACGACGCTATGACGACCAAGATCAGACGGCCGCTCGCCTGTACGAGAGACGCCTGAAGATCCAACCCTTGGAGACCTGTCGGAAATAGAAGAAAAGGTGGAGACGAGTGAAGAGGATGATAACAGTTGGCTGTATCTCGATTTCGTGACGTCTGCAATCGGGTGGCAATTTGAGGAGAAGACCTCATTTGATATTGAAACTTACTACTTCTCGCCTCATCGTCGCATCATCACCTCAATCGAGCCATACAAGCAGCATTTTGAGGCCAACTCACATTTTTATTGAATAACATATTTCTTTAATATTCTATCTGACTACTTTTAAGGATATCAGTAGATGTTGAAGGAAATGTTTACTCACCCTAGACCGATTGAGGATAATTTAATTTCCCATTTAATTTTGTATACGTAAACGTATTGTGATGCCAACTTTGCAATATATAAAGAAAGGATGGGTTGAAATAAATTCGTGATTCAGTCCGCCCTGAAGCCGAAGAAGTACTGACTACTGAAGGAATAAAAATTATTGGTTAATGTCCTCTGTTCATGGCAATGTGACTCGGATGAATCAGTGCTAAGCTTCGAGCTGGTACCGTCTACACAAAGCACACCGATATGGTAAACCAAGAGAAAATGTGGCCAGGTGCCCTACT